ATATCTGATTTGTGTCTGACACTGGAACATAAATGTGTTTTTATTGCTGTTCATGTATTTATATCTGTTTTTATTGCTGTCAGGCTCTCTAAGTGAAGAAGCCCCTCCCCCTCCCCGTGGCTTGGCAATGGGTCACCTGGCATCTCGCTCGTCTAACCCTATGGCAATGGCTCGTTCACTGCCTGTGTCTGTACCTGTGTGGGGCTACAGGAACAACCATGCACATCAGGGTGACTCCCATAGTGGAGAACGGGTCAGTCACACAGCACTTCATGCATGCCCTCATCTACATACACTTCTTCTATGTTTTTTTTTTTTTTTTTTTTTGTAGTTGTTATTTTGTTCTTTTGATGTGTGCACTTTTAATACAAAATATTTGTTAAATTGTTGGTAGGAAAATTATGCCACCAAAATCGTTTGGCCAATATGGTATGTGTAATGCGATGCATTTCATACAAAATAGGAAAATGATGCAGAAGCAAATGTATATTGCCAATATACACTACCTTTCAAAAATTGAGGATTGGTAAAATTCTTTTAATGTTTTTGAAAGAAATATCTTATATGTATCAAGACTGCATTTATTTAATCAAGAATACAGTGAAAACAGTACTATTGTGAAATATTATTAGAAATTAAAAGAACTTCTATTTTAATAGGTTTTATATGAAATGTTGAAAACAATTGTGCTGCTTAAAGGGTTAGTTCACCCAAAAATTAAAATTCTCACCCTCATGTTGTTCCAACCCCTTAACTCTTTCCCCGCCAGCGTTTTAAAAAAAAGTTGCCAGCCACCGCCAGGGTTTTTGACGATTTTCGCTAAATTTGAATGCCCCGCTGAATATTTTCTTCCATGAATATATGAAGATGATATATATAAAAATAAAGATCTGAGCCTCTGCTTTTAGGCAAAAAAAACGTTTTTATTTTATCTTCATCTGTTCTTTTTTTATTGCCTCTTGAACAGAGGTAGGTTTTGTCAAAAACACAACATTTTGGACAAAAAACTGAGAAAAAGGTATTTTTATCAAACAAGTGCATTTAAAAGCAGAATACATTCAGATGTTGTTTCCTTCATATATAAAACTTTCCAAAATAAATTAAAAACATAAAATAAATGTAAAATATATCAAATTTCCCAGGATGTAAGGGAAATGTAACTTTTGCAATAAAACTTCTGCCTCTGCCTCTCTGTGTTCTACCTGTGAATAATGAATAATTGGAATTACAATAAACAGGCCTAGACACACACACACACACACACACATACACACAAATACATATTACAATGTGGTAAATGTGCACAAAGAGAGAAATAATTTGACAATTACACCTTCATATTTAGACAGCCACACATAAATGCCTGCACACACACATACATAATATAGTGTCATAATATTATACGATCTATCTGCGGCACGTCCATGGCTAGAACTTTCTGTGACAACATGTGCATCTCTCTCACTGACTACTTCGTCCCGATCAGATTCAGAATTATCAAATAAAGAGTGATCGGACTCCGAGTCCATTAACCTCCAGTACTTCAGCCATATACCTCTGCATTGTCTGTCTGATACATTCTCACTACTCCACTGTTTGAGACGATTGCAATCTGTTTCTCTGATCAAAGAGTTGCGCAATCATTCAGGACATGCGCGCGGGTCTTCCTTACCGTATACCACCTAAAACACGGATACCCGGAAAATTCCGTGTTTGGCGCAGATGCGTTTTTTCATTAAACACGGAAAATTCCGTGTTTGGCGGGGAAAGACTTAAGACTTTTGTTTATCTTCGGAACACAAATTAATATTAATATTTATATTTATATATATATATATTTTTTTAATTAATATTTTTTTATTAAATCTGAGAGATTTATCACTCTTCCACAGGCTGCCAGGTAATTGCATCTGCCGGCCCAGAAAGTTAGTATAGACATCGTTAAAATAGTGCAAGTGCTCAACCTTAAAGGATTAGTTCACTTTTGAAAAAACTTTTGCTGATAATTTACTCACCCCCATGTCATCCAAGATATCCATGTCATTCTTTCTTCAGTCGAAAAGAAATGAAGGTTTTTGATGAAAACATTCCAGGATTTTCTCCATATTGGACTTCAATGGGAACCAAACGGTTCAAAGACAGTTTCAGTGCAAACTACAAACTGTTCAAAGGGCTTTAAACGATTTCAGACGATGAATAAGGGTCTTATCAAGCAAAACGAGCGCTCGTTAAAAAAACAACAAAAAAAACAAAGTTTAACTTTTATAAGCTCAAATGGTCGCCTTCATTTCTTTTCGACTGAAGAAAGAATGACATGGATATCTTGGATGACATGGGGGTGAGTAAATGATCAGCAAACGTTTTTTTAAAAGTGAACTAAGTTTAAGTTTATCAAGCGATGAGAATACTTTTTGTCCAAAAAATAAAACAAAAACAAAAATATCGACTTTATTCAGCTATTCTCTTTATTTAAATAAAAACTGTATTTAAATACATTCTGGGGTTGAATCTATGTACTAAACTAAAACGGGTGCAATATTATTGTACTGTATTATTGACCTAATTATGGATATAATGCTTTGTTGCCAAGTCCTTTCTGACTACCACTCTTGCTGACATTTGGTTATTTTGTAGATAATGTTTATGTCACTTCTTATAATTTTGTCATATATAAACTCTTACATATTGTGTTCAGCTTGATTAAAAGGACTCTTTTATTTCAGGTGGGCTGTGCTGATCTGGACCACATAGCTGCCAGTATGAAAGCCCTACTGGTTCCAGGGGCTACAGACGGAACGGAGATGTTTGGAGCACTGCCACGACCTCGCCTTAATACTGGCGACTTCTCTCTTAAGCACTGAGAGAAGACCAACGTGTGTATGTATGTTTGAGCCTGCTTGAGAACGAGCCGTGAGCTTGTTTGTGTGTGAAAGTGATTTGAACAGAACTGGAGAGTTTAAAAGACAGACACAAGGTTTGATGGATGTTTTTAGCAGATGTTGCCAAATTTGAAGCTTATCCTGCATATCATTAGTATTTCTATGGCGTTGAAAGTGGCAAAACCTTTACCAAACCTTCATATCTGCCGCAGAAGGAGGAGGGTTTAATTAGCATGTCTTAATTGGAGAATTTCTTCTGGCTTTGACCGGATGGTTTTGGCAGACTTTTGTGCATTTCATTCAGAAACACTAACAGAACAAATGTCATAACTTCGTTACATTACTAATCGTGCCCTGTAACTGTCCTCTGCAGTGTGGGATTTACTGATAGTATATGAGCCTATTCACATACTGAGACACTCGCACATCCATCACCACAGAAGCATTGTACATTAGCAAACACTACATGTTCTTGGAAATATAGACTACTGTGAATTCAGTAAAGTATATTCAATGGCAGGATTGCCAAAGCTGACTAGATGTTAATGTGAATGCTTGCAAATGATGTCATTCTCTGCTTGTGTGGACTCACTTTTATTTTTGATAGTCCTGAAGACGTTCTATAAATCAATGCTTTGTGAAGCAAAAGGACAATGAGAGGACAAAGCTTTGAAAAAAAAAAAACCCCACCAATGTTTGGGATTTTTCACCCAGAAATGACTTGTTTCTGCATTATAACTGATTAATGTGCTGATAATGGCTATGAATGCAGGAACATAAATTGTATAATTGTTGATTAGTTTGATAACTTCTCTAAAAATGTTGCTAGACTGAAGGATGTGTCAAATATGAGGGTTTACAACACTACAGATGTCAACCAGCTGTGTTCATCTTAAACATTTCACAACTGTTCAATGGTTAAGTAAATCCGTTTTGAATAAAAGTTATTTGTTGTTGAAACCTGTTGCCTTTTTTGTCTTATTTTCCTCTAAAAGTTTTTGTCTTGGTGTGGTTGAGTACGCTGAAGTCTGAATGAAAAAACAGCAACTCTCTGAGGAAGATATGCTTCTGGTGCCCAGCAGAGGGCGGTGTTGGCTTTTTCATGTAGTGACAAAGCCATTCATCTTAAAAGGGACAGTTCACTCCCCAAAAATTAAATTCATTAGTTACTCATCATGTTGTTCCAAACCCATAAGACTTCTGCAAGATATTTTTTGATGAAATCTTAGCGTTTTTTCTGTCCCTCCATTGACGGCTACACAACTACCACATCATATTGACACTTCAAAAGGTAAAAAAAGATCGTTAAATCAGTCCATATGAATTGAGTGGTTTATTCCAATATTTTCTGCAGACTCACTCGATCGCAATATGATGAACAGATTAAATTAGGCAATCCCGTTCCCACTTCAAATGTCAGTCCCATTCATCGCAATGGTAGTTGCTTGACAGTTCTTTAAGCAAATGTAAAAAATAAATGTGACATAAATGTGTAAATTACTCTATGTATGTTCTTGTGGCTGGTGATACCTCAAGCACACATACATAGAGAAATATTGTTTTTTCTATCAAAAATACATTTTGAATGTCCATCAATGGATGAAAATTATTTGTGGTTCCACATGGTTAATTTACAGCATCTACACTCTACACTCACTGCTGGGTTGATTTAACCCAATTTTGGGTATAATATGGTCGAACACAGCCATTGGGTTACATTTTTAAATTAATTTTTTAACCCAATGGCTGGGTTTGTCCCTATTTTACAGAACAACCCAGCATTTTTAGAGTGTACAAGCAGGGGTTAACTGGGTCAGGCTACCTGGTTTTAATGACATGTCAGCAATAAAAACAACACACCACTCATATAGAACACAAATTAGTATTATTTTGCACTGGTTTATTAGTGCACAGAAATAAATATTCACTACAGTATCTGCATTTGTCACATGGAATATAAAATGAAAACAGTGACTATTCAAAATCATTCATATAAAGATTACTGCAACACCAATTTACTGGTTAAAGTAATATATTATGAGGATGCACACTTTTGAACCAACCAGGTTTAGAATGCAAGTCTCCATTTACAGTTTCATTTTGTTATTGTAGTTAGAGACCTTTTTTTTTTTTTTGCTTCTGACTCTCCCTACCAATAGAATTTTCCTGCATCCTCTTCTTTTCCTTACATCACCCTTACAACAGGGAAAAAACAGTCTCTAACTACAATAATTCTTCCAACCCCTCCTTCTCTTCAGGTATCCCCCTCTTTACTGGTCCTTCTTTCGGATCCAGCAGTAGGAGTTCCTGCCCACCCAGAAACCAGGGAAGAGCTTCTCATTTACTTTGGATGCAAATCGATGAACCAGTTTGACCTCCTTGGAGCCGTTCTCTCCCTCTTCAACAAGGTAAAACTTGATGATGCCAGCTGGCTGGTCAGCATAGATGCCGATGATGGGGCAGAGAGGAGCCTGGATTTCTGTGTTCTCTCCATTGTGCCAGACATGGTAGCAGGATCCGGCCCAGCCAGCACCCCATGAAAGGTCATTCTCTCCCAGGCCACATGAGCCATCCTTAGCTTTTCTCCCTGCGCTTTCACACGCTGCCCCGATCACCACCCAGCCCTCATATTCCACCTCCCAGTACCCACGATTGTCCAGAAGACCCTCCTTACACAGCACCTTCAGGAGGATAGTCAGTTGTGAAAGTCAGTTATGTGCTTACTACATGTTGACCATGACAGTCTTACAGATTACATTCTGTCATCATTTAGTTACCCTCATGTCATTCTAAACCCATATCTTCTGTTGAACTTTGAGAACTGGATCAGTTTGATTTGCAAACAGATCATTCAGACTCGACCAGAAAGTTTAAAAGCTTGAATTTTGAGAGTTTTCAATTTGAAGGATATTTTAAGTTTAAAGTATAAAGCTGAAATTTTGAAGGTTTTGAAAGCAGTACAGAAGATAGATAGATAGATAGATAGATAGATAGATAGATAGATAGATAGATAGATAGATAGATAGATAGATAGATAGATAGATAGATAGATAGATAGATAGATAGACTTACTGCATATTGCTAGCAGGAATTAGCATGTTGCTATCATGTTTTAGCATGTAAGATAGTTGCTAACTTTTGCTAGTGATAGAAATTTGGTGGTTTATAAATATTCTATTAGAGTTTTTGTATAAAAGTTTTGTCCCCCTGAATGCAGGTCTATGGGACTTTTCCTGGTTTTGATCGTCTGCTAGACGAAATTCATTTCATTTAGAAAAGAAATGCAGAACCGTAAGTCAGATCAGTTAGAAAAGATTCAGAAGCTTGAACTGAGTTAACTATAAGTATGAGTTGACCTGAATAACTATAACATAAAACAATATGAGGTTTTGATTTCTTATGTCATCATTTTGACTAGTTTTCTCACGAATTGGTATCTTTATGTCATAATTGTCTTTAAGTCATGTTTTTGTTGATCAATGTTTATGTGAATAAGCACTTCAATTAAATCTGATCAAATCATATTTAATCAAAGCATAAATAAAAAAGACAGTACTAAAAGACTGTATATCCATGAGAGGATATAAAATGGATTTTTGATATTATACTACAGATTGGAACAACAACAGCAACAAAAATAGAGACAGATAGAGGAGACTGGCTTTACATACCTGTGGTGAATGTTCATATCTCTCTGGTCTGTCCAGAACAGGACACACTTCCTCTGACATTCGTGAGACTTTGGTCCCACCTTCTGAGAGCCACAACATTTTCTGAGCAGTTCTGTCATCCAGAGAAAGATTTATCCAGTCTGAGAGAGAAATAACATTTCAGAGGACAAGCAGCTATAAACTTACAAAACAGAACCATATAAAAGGACTGTCCCATGCTGATGCGTACACTTCATCAGCTCAGCTCTAGTATTGGGCTCGGTGATGTTGGGCTCATACGGTGGTGCCTTTGCTGTGATGGAAGGGAGAAGAAAGAGAACAAGGTCATTATATTTTTTACCACGACTGCACAATCCTATTTGAATGTCAGCTGTCTAATGGTGGCTCAGGCTTCAGGCGATCTCCATTGTATTATTATCCACTCCCATTAACACTATTAAGAGAGGTGTAAAGACAACAGCTGTCTTTGTAGGACTGCATGGTTCACAAGTACCTGCATGATTTGCTTCTTTTCTTGATCCTTTTCTTCCTGTAGGAGTGAAAATTGACATAAATTAACATCAGGGTTAACTTCAAACCACTTTAAATGAAGCAATGGGCAGTTTTAGGATTACACTGACACTACACAAGCATTCGATCTTCCATTTCATACATTGCTTTTCTGATCCCCCTTCCTTACCTCTCGCGTGCAATGTATCACCCTATGGTATGCCATTCATCTTCCCCCACTGTTGTTAGCACTGCATCATATAGTTTACCCATGCCTGTCAGGGTTTATGTTACATCTAAAGAGCATGCTAGGCCTAAACTTACATTCACCATGGACACACATCATAGGCTCTGACAGCAGTTTCTAAGAATACTTAATTTCCATGGTGTTATTTATTGGCATGTTCATGTCCAGCACTGGGCTTGAAGGTTTAACACTTTTCTCGCTGTTGTTGATTTTCACAAGCACCTTCTCAGAAAACCATCTGCGGTCCTCTGGCTCATGCATTAGTGCTCCCACATTGTTGCCTTCTTTTGTTAATGTCACATTAACATTAGTTGCTCCCTCCCTTCGGTTATCATATTGCTCAGTGGTATTAAAGGGGAACTCCGGCGAACAATGAACCTTTGGTCTAATAAAACATCGGTACCTAGTCAATTGTTCTCTGAGTTTTGTTTTCATGATAATCGAATGTAAAGAGTTTTATCTCTAAAAACTGTTTAGCGTATAATTCTAGTAATGGGGGCATTGACTAAGTAAAAAGAAATCGCTAGTTTATACCACTAACAAGGCTCAAAATAGCCCCACACTAACGCAGTAACATAATGAGGGTCCATACATGCAAAACGAAGCATTGAGAACTTTGTAAGTGTACAGACCGTTTAATAAGAAGATACTATATAAAGACAGTTCACTTCGTGTATACAGACAGGAGCCATCTTAAAAAATAGTCTCGATAAGTCGATCCCCGAACGCTGTTCATACAGTTCAGAAGTTCGTTGAACTTCATAGAGTTCAGATCACTCAGCAAGGCGTTCGGGGATCAACTTATCGAGACTATTTTTTAAGATAGCTCCTGTCTGTATACGCGAAGTGAACTGTCTTCATAAAGTATCTTCTTATTAAACGGTCTGTACACTTACAAAGTTCTCAATTCTTCGTTTTGCATGTATGGAGCCTCATTATGTTACTGCGTTAGTGTGGGGCTATTTTGAGCCTTGTTAGTGGTATAAACTAGCGATTTCTTTTTACTTTCTGCCCCCATTACTAGCATTATACGCTAAACAGTTTTTAGAGATAAAACTCTTTACATTCGATAATCATGAAAACAAATCTCAGAGAACGGTTGACTATGTACCGATGTTTTATTAGACCAAAGGTTCATTGTTCGCCGGAGTTCTCCTTTAAGCGTATTAGTTCAACTTGTTTGTCAATTTAAGTGTAAAGTGCCTGAGGAGGAGAAGGTCACTGTAACAATGAATTGTACAACTAGATTTCTAGTGTCCTAAAAAAAGAGCAATGTAGTGGTTAAAACCGAAAGGTTGCTGGTTTGAGAGGCAATTCTCTTTTTCTATGGTTATATTTTGGTTTTTTATTGCTTTATTGGACTGGACAGAGATAAGAGAGGAAACCACATAGTGGAGCAAGTGGCAAGGGATCAGCAAAGGATCTTGAGCTGGGAATCGAATTCGGTTCTGTGGAGTTGCAGTTGCATTGTATATCAGAGCACTGACCTCAAGGTTATCAACTCCGACAAAGATAATTTTTCTCCTTTTTTTCAGTAAAATTTTTACAAATTCTTAACAGAGGATAAATTTACTTGACGAGCAAGACTGTGTATTATATTTTCAGAGAATGTATCTTTATAGTATTGCACTTTTACCACAAATATATATATATATATATATATATATATATAGGCCTATATATGTTAAAATATTTGGGCAAAATACAAATGTGTATACATATTGCTTGCTTCTCAAATAAATGAATCTTATTTTAAAGCTACACTGTGTAACTCTTTTAGTTTATTCTTAGCTAAAAACGCTTAGTTCTTTCAAAAATATATGTGCTCATTAATGTATATTTACTTCGTTCAAGTAATAAAGTATTCTAAGTGTACAACATGCCGTTCAAAATACATACGGGTAAGGGGTTCTTGGTCGCCATGTTGCCCCTCCATCTTGAAAGTACATTAGCCAAAGAGGGACATACCCGTTAATTCAAGCTTCGCCTTTCGCGTTTACGTTTGAGTTAACACTCATGAACGAGGTCAAACTGGAAGCCTTGTTAATCTTGCACTACACTGGCCACCGTAGGAGTTAAAACAAAATCGGAATTGAGAGGAACAGAAACTAATATTCACTGGATGGTCTTCTACCTTTTCACCGGCTAGATGGGGTAAAAATCACACAGTGTAGCTTTAAGGTATATTTTTAGAAATCTTTCAAGGTTTTTAAATATGTTAGTGCTATATCGCTAGATCAAAAGACTAACACTTTAACGCTTTATTTTACTGTGTCCTTGTTACACATTACATGTAGTTACTGTAATAATAACTATATATGCATATAATTACAACCAAATCCCAACCCTATAGTAAGTATGTGTAGTTAATTATTATTACTCAGTACTTAAATGTATATTTGCACTGTAACATGGACACCTTAAAATAAAATGTAACCATGTCATATTTTCAGTGTAGGGTTCTGCTGTCGGCTGATTAAAAAAAAAAGCCTGAAAGTGAAACCTTGCAGAATTTTTGTCTCACTTTCAGTGAAATCAGATATCCCCATCAGAGGTGACTGGCATCACTATGGATCTTCGTGACAGCGTGCAGCCCTAAATGATTGGGTCAGCTGTGTTCCAATGCATACAGGACAGCGACTTCTGTACACCTGTTCAGATCCCCCACCACTGTTTGTGATCTTGGTGACAATCACTGAAAACAGATCATCATCGCCAAGCACCAACATTATAATCTTTGATCAACCTTCAATTCTTTTATATGTTATACATCTCGAAGACACACATGCTCTATGCACATCATGACAAGCAGGCCCTTGAGGCCATCAAGTAATTATGAGATACAAGCTCGATCAAATGGAGGGTGATAATGAAAAATGGTGGTGCAGTCATTAATCTTTACTAGAGTTTAACACATGAAATGAAATCTTAGAAATAATCCAGGTGCACAAAAAAAAATATCATTAATACCTTTGGGCTTAAACACAGGCAGTTATAGAGGAATGGATGGTAGAGGAACGAAGGGAACGGAGGTGGTAAGGGATCAGGGCCAGAGATTAGCAACTGCTGCTGACAGGTCACTCCATCAGTCAGCCTGTTTCACCCTCTCTTCGGGACCTCTCCCTTATAGGGGCTGGTATGGAGGGACTCAGAAAGAACAAGAGGGAGGGGTCGAGCAGAACAGCCAGCATACTGTACTATAACCATGGTCATGAAGCAGACCTCCAAAATAAAACAAGTCAGAAAGTCTCGGTGAGTCTCTGTTCACGCGATTTAAAGACGCACTGACAGCTCTTCAAGTTAGGGGTTTCTCCCTGGTGTGTTTTTCCCTTTTCACACCATTCTTTGTAAACCCTAGAAATGGTTGTGCGTGAAAATCCCAGTAACTGAGCAGATTGTGAAATATCAGACTGGCCCGTCTAGCACCAACAACCATGTCACGCTCAAAATTGCTTAAATCACCCTTCTTTCCCATTCTGACATTCAGTTTGGAGTTCAGGAGATTGTCTCGACCAGGACCACACCCCTAAATGCATTGAAGCAACTGCCATGTGATTGGTTGATTAGATAATTACATTAAAGAGAAATTGAACAGGTGTTCCTAATAATCCTTTAGGTGAGTGTACCGTATATTTAAGTCAGAATTAGGCTATTGCACTCCTGTTGCGCTCGTTTAATGTGAAGTTTAGCAGCAAAATGGAAATACTTGCACAACTTTCCAACATTTACAGATTTAGAATATACCTCTAAAATGTAAGTTTTGCACAGAGGAAAACATCATATCTCAAATGCATAGAACAGCTCAAAATATGTGCTGTGTGCTGTGGTGGATCGATTTGATCCATGATTGACCTCTAGGGCTGCTTAGGCCCCGTCCACACTACTGCGTTTTCGTTTAAAAACGGAGAATTAAAACGAATACAATCTCTGTCCACATTTATCTGCGTATTAGAAATGATCTCCGTCCACATTAAAACGACTGAAAACGTGGATCACGTGACCATTCACCAACACTGGGCATGCGCGTGCCGGTGTAAACAGTGGTTGGCGAATCAGGGAAGGATACGTCATGATTGATAACACTCAATCATAGAGCCGAGCGTCAGCCCCTGCGTCAGCGTTTCTGATGATTGGGGGCGGTAATATTATGATAAGATCCTCTTCCTACGTCAGAAAGGGAACAAAATCTGATTGGCTATTTTTTTTTGACATGCTTCCAGAGAAAGGCTTACCAACACAAAGATACTGGGTTGTCACTTTTCACGTTTTCTGTGTTCGTAGAAGCACTGGGGTCCGGATTATAGCACTTGAACACGGAAAAGGTCAGATTTTCATGATATGTCCTAATTAACTCTAAAAACATAATGCAATGCATAATTAAAAATTTGGGTAAAATGTGAAAAATCAATACCTAATAATATCAATTCGCTTCGTACATATATCGCTTTTATCGATTTATAAGGAAGGGGGAATCTCCTCAACCAATCTCCTCGGTTTAACATTTCATCTGAAGGACAGTGCTTTTTGACAGTAGAGTGTCCCCATCACTGTACTGTAGTGTTAGGGCCCACACAGACCACAGATGAATGCCCCCTGCTGGCCTCACTAGCACCTCTTCCAGCAGCAGGAGGTCCCATCCAGGGCAGGCCATCAGCCATATCACCCTAAATCTATTTTATTTATTTTTTTAAAAAGACTGTTTTAATTTTTTTTAATTATTACATATATATTGTAGATAAAAACAATACATTGTAGTAAAATATTAATAATTTATTGAGCTTTATGCTTATCAATACATTTTTTTGTTACATGTATACAAACATAATTCAAGATTATATTAAAAAAATTAAATGTCTTACAAAAATAGTGCTTCTCAAGTAAATGTATTACATATACGTATATATATATATATATATATATATATATGAAGAGTTCAGATGCAAAAGCCTCTAAGTGCCATTTGAAATTTTCTTCTATAATGATCATTTTTATCAAGCTTGTATATTTAAGTTCAGTAATTTCACTTAAATGGCAATGAAGATTACCTATTAATTGTCATTTAAGTAAAAATTACTGAACTTATGTATATACAAGCTTGATAAAAATGGTCATTTTAGAAGAAAATTTCAAATGGCATTTAGAGGCTTTTGCATCTGAACTCTTCATATATATATATATATATATTATAATATATACTTAATTTTTACTTTTACTAATATTATTTTTTGTAAAACTGGAAAATAAGACTGTTTAAAAAGTCTTTGCATTGGAGGAAATTACAAACGTGTAAGAGTAGTGAAGATTGATACGGTTGTGTCATTCACACTTATGGACACCATGAGCATGGCATCATGGTAAAATCTGTTATATTATCCATGTTATAGTTTCAAAAATTCTTTAACTTTGTCCTTTTATTGAATCTTAGTTTACAATAAAACTTTCATCATTTAAACTGGAACAACCTTCTACTATTGAGTAAGTTTGAACTTCACCTCTTTTTAGCATCTGCAGCTATGTTGTTGACCTCAGGGTCTTTGCTAGGCTTTAGTGTCTTTTGCTCGTGATGACAGTGCAGAAAGCGAGTTGTGTGTGTTGGACACGTCCGTAGCGTGTCTTGCCAACCCCTGCCATGCACCCAGGCGCTATGGGCATGGGATGGTTCATATTTGGTAGTTGGATCAATGAGATGCTATGCATGATGATTTGAGAGGGAAGGCGATGGATATGATCTCGTGGCCCTGGCCCCCCGAGTGTTGAAAAGCTCATGCTGAGTGTCGGCCTTCTGTTGATTGCTTACTTGAAACAGGCCGAATGGAAAATAACATGAACCAGACAGATGCACAAATAGAGGGATTCATGTCTGTAAAGGGAGATTTTGGAGGTGTGACACATTACAGTCCTGAGAAAGACATGCTTGGATAAGAGACGTTCTCATGTACTGGTTAGATCAGATCTCTCTTAACAGAGATTGAGTTGGTTTCCATGCTGACATAGATTCCTGAGAATTATGATGTCTCATGAGCATGTGGTGACTGATCTTGCCGAGTACTGCCATGCCCAGTAAGTCAGACCCAACTTGGCTAAATCACAGGAGGCATACAAGAACGGTAGAGGGGTGGAGATAAGTTACTGTGGAGGGTTTTACACTTCATTATTCCTGTGCTCAAGAAGGCGGCATGTCATCATTGATAAGTTCATAATAAATCAGAGGGAGCCTCTTTTCAACTTTTAATAAGGTGTTTACAAGGTGAAAGGCAATACTAAAAATTATATTATTTAATTTTACATGTTTACTTATATTATATTTAATTTAATTATATATTTATTTTATATTTAATTGAAAAGATTATGAATAATCATTTTACATTTTAATACAAAATTGAAATGAAATTAAGAGCAAGAAAGACAGAGTTGTTGAGATGACAGATGAGAACAAAGTGTTAAAGTAGAAGGGTGAAAGAGGTACCCGTGCAAATATAACACCTGAAAGAAGATTCGTCTGATGAATGCAGATCAGGTTACTTCTGTACAAATACATAAATCTCACTGACTGATATTGAAACATTTTAAATATGCAATGATTAACTTATAGAGTTGGGCGTACACATTACAGTATTTGTAAATGCTGGGTAAAAGCCTTGTTTATGTGCACATATGTCGCATTTGACCTCTTTAAAACACTTTAAATAGTATGTAAGTGATAAGACTGCTTGAGTCTAAAGGTTGTTTAACAACATGCTTATCTTAAAATACATGCGGGGCCAAGAGAGAGTGGTCTTGTATGAGCATCTTTCCTCTTATTATAATTTGTTGTCAAAAGATTGAGTAGAGCAGCTGCTAAACTCTTTGTGTCTGTAAAGACTATTATTATTTTCCTGTGCAGACGAGAGTAACAGTATGACAATAATGTCCAAGGTGCCCTCTCCTCATGCTGTCTTTCCTGTGTACCTCTGATCCCAGCTTTCTCGGAGCATACGTAACGCAACTCACACAAACCGTCAGAATAACCTTCCATCAAGTCAGCATTGTGGTGACACTTTTAGTTTGGGTACTGTCACCAGAGCTGTAAATACTGCTGGTCCTAGGCATGTAGACTCGGTTTGAAGTGTCCAGAAAGATGTGTGTTTGCATTACCAGGTGCATTCCATAGTCTGAGATGAATTATTATCCATACATTCCAGACTACGGTCACACACACATGCACACATATTTACTTAGCTCTGTGAATAAGGGCATTCCATAGACTACTATTGCTTTTATATACATTTATTTATTCTCAAATGAGCACTACCCTAAAAAGAGGTTTTGTCAGATTTAGCTCACAACAAAAATGGTTAACACACACACACACAGACACACACACTATTTTCCCTTTCGGTTTCAATTATACCTATCAGTTAGGTTATTTTATGTTTTTAATTTTGTGCTATACCATGATAAACTAGAATATATATATATATATATATATATATATATAAAACAAATATTTATAATTTTTAATGTATACATACATATATTTATATATATACACACAGTGTATATATATATATATATATATATAACAAATATTTATCATTTTGAATGTATACATACATATACATACACAGTATATATATATATATATATATCAAACTAAATATAATTATACCATAACCAATATAGGCTTTGTTTACTAGGGCTTTTCCTCTGGAAACTTAATTTTCTTATGCCCTCACTTGCTGGGTTTTTAATTTTTTTTATTAAGTGACTTGTACATTTGATTTTAGATCGTCACTTTTTTTCTGTTGTCCTCCCTCCATTTATATCCATGTGAAAATTGACGTACATAATTATGTCTTCTTTAAAGCAGTGTTTTACTTATATAAAGCACAAGTTTTACTTATTTACTTCTAGAGTGCCAGATTATTTAAAAATATCAAGCAACATCCAATGGTGCATTTGTAGAAAGTTACCGTTCTTAGCTTAATTGAGGCAGAAAGCAACAACAAGGTGTCCTGTCAGACAGGTGAGCCTGTATGGAAAATAGTACATTGATATTGGTAAGGTAATGAGCCCTTACCTGCGTTCTTTGCTTCAGGCATGATTCCGTTGGTGCTTGGGGTACTACTGGGCATTGCAGGGTTGGATGAGCGTCTGTTTTGACTCCGAGTCTCTCAGTCTCTGGGTTCCCTTCTTATTCCCTCTTGAAAAGGCGGGGAGGAAAAGACACTGCCTATGGGGAGGGGGTCTGTAGGTGGTTGAGGTGGTGAACACGAGGTTGATCCTGTCACTTAAACCCTGTGAAGTTCACGTGTACCATTAAATGAGCCAATAAAAGGATATAGTACAGCACACATACACACAGTTGTGCATATGAAGCAGATCTTATGACAAAAGAAAAGCGCAAAGATTTCAAGAAAATAGCATGCTATTTTATTTCACTGAAAGTGTTTTGTACAAAAGGTGTTTTATTTTTATTTTTTATACAAAGAGAAGAAAGAATAGGTTTTCTGACCCCATCGTTCAGCAGGGCGTCAGACGGTGTCTGTCACACACAAACCGAACATTATTCGGTTGACCTTTTTTATGTTGTGGGAAATGTTATGTATCCACAGCAACTTTGCCAAAACTGAGATGCAAAATGGACCTGCAGGGTATCATAAGAAGCTAAAGATTTAGAATGAGCTTACCATGATTTACTAATATTTCTGACACTTAGCTGCAGAACTTATCTCATCTCATTTGCCTCCAAAAATGATAATATCAATTAATGGAACAAAAGGATTGTAAAAACAACAAATATGTACTAATCTGAGGTGGATCCACTGAACCGTATTACAGCACATTATCCCTTTGTAATGAAACATTTTTTTTATCACCAACTTTAATGCTTGAAAGCAGACTGTGGATTATGTAAGTATCTAACCAATCTTCATTCCTGATAAATGAGACAGGTGTATTCCTCTCTAATTCTTCTCACTCTTAGCACCTCGGTTCCCATTAACATGGTAAGGAGAAACGGATTCCCTTCCACTTTGAAGACCTGAGAGTTAGCCGGTGGAATTTTAATAGGTGGCAACTAAGCTATGTTTAGCTAAAATATTGTACATTGTGTGGGTATGTGAATGTATAAGATGCTTTAAGAGACACCCTAACCATACCTCCAGCCAAAATAGCGTTGTTGGAATGACAATGGTTCGTAAGTTAACCGGCACAATGTTTGTCTGTCCTGCATAAATCAGAAGTAACTATTATCAAAATATATTGTCACAAGATAAAGATTCCAGTTTCTATTATTATAGTAAACTCTGGTAAACCACAAACGGTGTAACAGGGTGTGCATTAAACGCAAAGGACCAACAAAGTGAAGGAGAAGAAATACACATGAACTTAATGACGAACAGCTGTGAAGATTGTCTGTGGAAACTGATTAGTGGCGGTAAATTCAAACAAAGGAACACATGATGAATGAAAAACTGAGTTTACGCAACTGAATAAGCAGACAGGAGTGTACTTTTCAATGACTACATGTCTGAGAAACTTACTGTTAATTCTGGAATGCCACAGGGCTCTATTTTGGGGCCCTTGCTGTTTACAGTATATATTAATAATCTTAGTGAAAATGTTATTAATGCAAAAGTACACCTGTATGCTGATGATACCATTATCTATTGTTCTGCAAAATCTACTGCCGAGACAATTTTAAATTTACAAAAAGCACTTGAAAATATTCAGCTCAATCTACACACATTGAATTTAGTGTTAAATGATAAGAAAACTAAATACATGTTTTTTACTAACTCGTAAGCCTGGACATTTCTTGCCGCAGCTCCACACATTACAAGGCAGGCAAATAGAATTAGTTTCCTCATACAAATATTGGAGGAAAACATGTCTTTTGATTTGCATATTAAACTCACTAAATTAAAATTAAAGCTGTTTTTTTTTCTTTAGGAACAGCACTTGCTTTACAAAGAAAGCCAAGAAAAGGCTGGTTAAATCTACCTTTTAGCCAGTTTTAGATTATGGAGATGTGTTTTACAGACACTCCACAAAGACCCTGTTGAAATCATTGGATTCTGTGTATCATTCAGCACTGAGATTTATATTGCATGCAAAGTACTCTGTCGCTAACATCATTGTGTATTATATGAAATGGTTGGTTGGCTCTCACTTAACACAAGAAGGCTCAAACATTGGTTGAGAAACCTTTGTGTAGAAATCAATAACTGGACACACTCCTTCATTTTTAACTACACTCTTAGCACCTAGTAAATTAAAATACAATCTAAGATCAAGTAGATACATACTGTATGATGTTCCACAAACTAAAACAGAGTTTGGCAAAACTGCTTTTAGTTACAGTGCTCCAACTTCATGGAATGAGTTGCAAAATCAGCTAAAATTACAGGTTTTTATTTCACATACTGAGTTCAAGTCCTAGGTCAAATTTCTCAACATGTTTACGATTGATTTAAAATATGATTTTCTGTTTTTATTTTTATATTCTTGTGCATCCCTGTATGTTTGTTACTTGTTGCCTGTGTAAATTTATCCTCTACGTGTGCTGCCTTCTTGGCCGCAGGGCTCACTAAAAGAGATCCTGGGTAAAATAAAGGTAAATAAAATAAAAAAGAAGGAGATTTAGGAGGCAGACAAGGAGGGGGTGAAGGGATGGTGATGGTAGCCAAACTTTGGGTTAAATATGGACAAACCCAAATGTTGGGTTAAAAATGTAATTTAAAAAAATGTAACCCGATGGCTGGGTTATATATATATATATATATATATACCGCCAATGTGTTAATAGAGCAAAATCAAAACCGTGAGACCTCACACTAAACCTTTGCTGTAAACACTAGCCCAGAATACTTTAAAATCACAGGGGCATCCCTGGCTCTCGGAGTAACGGGTAGTCATGGCGACACAGCTGAACATACAGTGACAGGATGTGAGATTTATGACTGTCCACTGACAGAGGCCTCTCCTAAACAGAGGCTTCCGTTTCCTTTTCCTGCCATGTTTATGTGCTCTACTCTCATATGCCATCCAATTCTTCTTGTGGACATATTTGAAGTGGAGCTGAATTCAGAATCAGACTTTATATTAGCAAAAGTTGTACATTTCTACCGGGCTGGGGGTGGGGGATTTAAAACAATATTTTTCCTTTAATAAACAATATTTCAGTCTGAATAACTTGTGACCTAAATGCAATACTGACTAAAACTAGCATATCTAATTGTGTTTGTTATTCTCTTATTTGGGCTTTTTGTGTCCTCCTCTGTGTGTTCAGACAAATACAGTGGCAGACGGAGAGCGAGAAAGAGAGTGAGCCAGAGAGAAATGCCCTTATGACGCCACACACACACCACTGTTCTGTCTCAGTTTCATGTACTTCTTGGTATCCACACATTCATCAGGGCTGTGATGATAGTTCTTCACTGAATGATCTATTTGTAGAGAATTTCACAACCTAATACCAAATACTTAGAGAGGGCTAAACGCTTGAGATTTGTGAAGTCAGATGTACAATGTTTTACTTCTCATTAGTTTAACAGCTAAAGCCGGGAAAACAAATGAAGGTCTCCTGCTTGGTCATTTGACCTGGTATATTTTAGCCCACCAGGGTTGTTTACAGAGGCAAGTAAGCACAAAGGTGTCAGACCTTGGAATACGAGCAGCTCCCTTTACTTGTGATTGACTCTGAAATTCATTCAAGCTGTTCTGCTTGCTTCTGAGTTTAACCATGACTTTGGCCTGGAAAAAAGAGACTGACAGTGATTGATAAAGGTCATTGACTTGTCCTGCTCCACAGGACTACAAAATCTTTCAGAGAACATGGGTGTGTGGTGTGGTCAAGGGTTTAGAGGAACACGTTTGAGTGTTGTCTGTGCTGAGCCTCATAAGATCCAGATTTACCACACACTGCCAAAGTTATACATGAACGGACCTAAGACAAACAGGCCCACAAGCTGAGAATGACTGACAGCTGACAAAGATAGCCACAGAAAGGGGACATGAGCTTATGGTCTGCGGGAGTCGATCTAGAACATTCTATCCCCACGTTCACTGTTTACAGCAAACACACACCAACAGCCGCACAACTGGCAACATCTTATGAAATAGCAATGAGAGGATGAATAAAATCTCAGAGAAGAGCCATGTCAATTGAGAGTCAAACTTTGAAGATTAATCTCAACCAACTGTTGCCATGAGCCGCTTTTTTCTGAATATAATTGGGAAAAAAAGTCCCTAAAGTTCGGTAAACTCTGCCCTGCAAATTAATCTCACGTGAAGACGTGTGACTAAAAGAATGATACGCCATAGTGATTTTTTTTAGCTGCAGTAAAAAGACGCAAACTTTAAATCTGCAGGATTGCAGTAAAGTGGAGTAGATTGCATATTTTTACATTTTTTGTAAAAACATGGGATGTCATTTTGCGACTGTTGCAGTGTCCGTAGAAATTTAGCGTGCTCAAAGTCTAGTGTGACCGCGGCTTTAGTTTCCAAAGTGTCTGCATTACAAATATGAATGGCAGTACTTCTGTAAACAACAATGTCGACAACTTCGAATGGTCATCAAATTATTTTATTAAATCAGTAGTAAAAACAATCCAAGAATGCAGTTATAAGTTAAGGTTTTCAATTATTATTTCTCCAGAACAATCCTTTGTTTGTAAATGTGTACATGCCATGATGCGTGTCAGTGAACTCAAAATCTGCTTTTAAATATTATTTACAGGAGTTGTTGCTGCCGCGGGGGATCATCGTCCTCCTCCATTGCCCGCCCCTCCTCCGGCTCCGCCTCCAGACTGATCCTGAGCTCCAGACATCATCAGGAAAAGAACAAGAGGGACAATATACATCCACTGGTGATGAAAGAGAAAAAACACACAAGAAGGTTGTCAACATATTTGTTAGCAGTTTGAAATGCAACATGACGGTTCCTCTCCGGAGTCAATGACTAGGATTACAGGCTTTTGGATTAATTGGCAAGTTTTCCCAAGCAAATCAATTTCAGTTTCATCCTTCCTTACTCTCTTTTTGTCCAACCTCCACCATTACTGCTTCTTACAAATGACTTTCCACTATGAGGGAGAAATGAGACTGAGAGAACAGGAAAGAGTGAAGCGAGCAGAGTGGGTCATGAACATCTCTGAGCGTGAGACTATCATCACCTGCTAATATTACTGGTCAAAAGACCCTATTTGATCAAAACACCACTGATTT